TTCCTTCCTTCCTTCCTTCCTTCCTTCCTTCCTTCCTTCCTTCCTTCCTTCCTTCCTTCCTTTCTTTTTATTTTTCTGAAGCAGGGCTTCTACTGACCCTGGAGCTCACTGAATGGCTAGACTGGTTGGCCAGTAAGCTCCAGGGCTCTGGCTGTATGTCTCCCTGCTCCTGCTGAGGTTCCTGACTCGGTCCTGACATGTCTGGCTTTTACATGGATGCTGCTGAGTCAAGTTCAGGTCCTTACGTTTACACAAGGCTCTTTACCAACGGAGCCGTCTACCGAGTCATTGGAAGGGCACATTTAAATTGCATCTATGCTGGGCATGTATAAGCATTTTCCTTAGATTATTTCCTCAAAGGTTCAAGTGACTTATCTCTGCACAACTGTTTATTTATGTCCAGTAGTACCTGGCAAAGGGTGCGTGCCAGAGGATACCGAGGGGCCTTTTCCCAACTGCAGTGTTCAGGATAGCAGGTTCTTTTGTTTGTTAGTTTGTTTTGTTTTTGGAGACAGGGTTTCTTTGTGTGTCCCTGGCTGTCCTGGAACTTGCTCTGTAGACCAGGCTGGCCTTGAACTTAGAGGTCCACCTGCATCTGTTTCCTGAGTACACAAGTACCTCCAGGCTCATGATAGCATTTTAAGAGCTATTCCAATCTATTCTAATAGATTCCAGGAGCGCGCGCACGCGCACACACACACACACACACACACACACACACACACACACACACACACACACCTACTTCTCTCCTCACACACACACTTTCTCTTACACAATACACATAAAGAAAAGGACAAATTGCAATACTATGGGATGGGATACATACCACCACAGGAACACAGGACACTAGCAGAGTTTCTGGGAGAAGCAGGTAACACAGGCCTGGGAGGTGGAGGAAGTAATCCAGGGAAAGAGATTGAAGAGCTGGAGTGTGAAGGAGCTGTCCTGGCAAAGGTGTGTGACTATGTGGAGGGGGAAGGGGCCAGGACCAGCTCTCCTCCAGGCAGAAGATCTGTGTGCAAGGATCCTGATCACTGAACATACGTTTTGTTGGACTGGAATAGAAAACTCAAGGCGTAGAATATCAAGAGATGAAGCTGGAGTGATAACAACAGGATGTCTTAAGTCAGCATTTAAAAAAACTTCATTTTGGCTGCAGTATGATGATGAGGTGAGAGGAAACTGGAGGCAGGACTCCTGCTGTGCAGCTGACAGGGTGTGGAGCTCACAGATGAGGAGGACTGTGGGAATGCTGACAAACATGTAATAAGTGATTTTAGGCATGCTTGAACTGCGAGAACTAAGAGGATGTGGGAGTGAGGGAAAGGAAATTAAATGGGTGTTAATGTTATTCATTATGAAGGAAGTCAAGATAAAAACAGGAGTTGAGGAGAAGATAATGAGTTCAGTGTCAACCTTGGTCCACGGCAGTTTTTCTTGGCATACAACCAGGAGATACGCTGGAGTTGTGTGTGTTGGCCTAAACTCAAGGAGAAGTATCTAAGCCAGAAATATAACTGTAAGACTCATCAAAGTAAATTGAAGAAGCAGTGCTGATCCAAGAGACACCAAGGGACAGCACACACACACACACACACACACACACACACACACACACACACAACTAGAAGATAAAACCAGGTTAAGAGCCAAGCAGCAAGGAAATCTACAAATGATAAACAGGACTGCACAAAAAACTAGGCATGGCCACAAGGTAGGAACAAATGGAAAACAGCTCAATTCTCACACTGATTCTTCACTCTCTCTTTTGTTATTAGGTATTAAGAAACCTAGCTCTAATGAGTCATCTCTGTGGAAGACTAGTGAATAAATGAAGTAACTAATCACATAGTATTTCAGAAGATGGTGCAATATAGAAAAATAACAAAAGGATATATAGCAAATGATGGAGATATCTGTAAATTTTAGAAGTACAGACAAGGACTTGACGGCACTAAAAAGCAACATTTGGGAAAAGACCCAAAGAGACTATTTAGTTATCTTAAGAACTTTACAAAGCATTTAACAAATCATTTTTTTGTTTTGTTTTATTATTGAGATACAGTCTGTGGCTGGAACTCAATATGTAACCTAGGCTGGCCTCAAATCACAGAGATCCACCTGCCTCTGCCTTCTGAATGCTGGGATTAAAGGCCTGTGCCACCATGCCTGGCCCCCCCCCCAAGAATTTCTTAGCTGATTCTAAATTTTACTTGTATTTTTTTTTTTTTAAACCAAATGTCTGTCACACGTGACTTCAGCCACCATCACAAGGAAGCAGGACAGAATTAATATTGAGTGCCCACCGGACACTTTGGTAGTTATTTATAGAATTCTGGTAACTTCATCAAGGCTTACAGTTTAGTGGAGAGATGGGCATATGCATGTAATTCTTGCAGTAGTAATGAAGTCGTTTAATCATCAGAAACAGTTGAAGTTGAACCAAAGCCCTGCATGTATTGGATCTACCTTTAGTAGATGTAAGAACATTCTTAAACCTAACAGAAGGAAGTCAGGAAGTTACTGCCTATTCACAGCTACAATTGAGCACTTTCCTGGACTCAGTCTCCCCAACAATTCTAAGAGCTGTTACTTTAAAAATGTTGTCCCCGATGTGGAGACAAGTTATATTTCTGGCTTAGATACTTCTCCTTGAGTTCAGCAACGCGACAAGGCAGGTACATGGTACTGCTGTGCCTACATCTGAGACAGTTTACCTCCAAGGACCAACTTGTGCACACTGCAACAGCTGTCTTGAGGACGCTGACGTAACACCCAGTCCTCCAAGTATAAAACCGGAAGCGGGAGGAGTTAGGGCTGAGGCGGAGCCAGCGCCCGGAAGGAGGTAGGCGGATTCACACGCATCCCTGTCCATCGGCCCCTGCACCACTCAGGAGCCACCCGGAAGAACGCCTGCGCTCCGGGGAGTGCGCAGACGCAGAGCCGCCTCTGGGCGGAACCGGACGATCTGTGGCCTCCGCTTGCCCAAACATCCTGTGGGAGAGGGAGGCCCTGGAGGTGCGCATGCGCAGGCCGTCTTCGCCGACCCGGGGGAACGCAGACGGGGCCGGGGGCTGGGTCCGAGTCGAGCGGGCGCAGGATGGACGAGGACGTGCTGACCACTCTGAAGATCCTCATCATCGGCGAGAGTGGGGTGGGCAAGTCCAGGTGAGGCGGTGCTCGGCCGGCCCTCTGCCTCCGGGCTGCGGGCTGCTCTCCCGGAACGGTCGCTGCGGCCCTCTTGGCTCCGCCCCGGGCCGGCGCGCCCGGCTCAGGCCTCACAGGCCGGGTTCCTCCCAGCTCGGCGCCCGGGCTTGGGCCTGATCCCTCCGAGGCGATCCGGACCCCTCTGGCCTGTTAGTCCTCTCGAGGCTAGCCGGCCTGTCACTCCCCGAATCCCCCTGCTTGTCACCCCTAGAGTCTGGTCAGCCTGTCACCCCTAGAGTCCAGCCGGCCTGTCACTCCTAGAATCCAGCCGGCCTTTAACCATAGAGTCCGGCCGACCTGTCATCGTCACCCCTAGAGTCCAGCCGGCCTGTCACCCCGAGAGTTTAGCCAGTCGTCACCCCCGGAGCCGAGATCAATAGTTACTTTATCACTTTGCGATTTCGATAGAACTGTCCTTCAAGTACTTAATGTTCTACACAGAAACTTTGGTGACGTCTTAGGTCACATTCCTGGCTCATTTTAGCACAATCTTTCGTTGCATCTTTTTTCTTTCTTTCTTTCTTTCTTTTTTTCTTTTTTTTTGCGGGGGGCGGGGTACCTGCTTGAAAAATGTCTTTTAAGGCACAGGGCACTTAAGCAGTGAGCCACCTTTAAGTGAGATTATTCTTGGCTTGTCACATTATATAGAAATGAAAGGGACAATATTGTATTGTCTTTTTTGCTTTGACTCATTCCTTGGGAAGGAGTCTATTGACAGTAGAGTTGTGTATTAGGTCAGAGGTGGACCTAGGTGGGTGTTGCCAGAGGGTTATGATTTCATCCAGGTCTGGACAAAGTTCTCCAGGTGAAGTCATTCCTTACCCTCTGATTATGAATAAATGTTATTTCAGCTTCTCTTGATCTTTAAACAGCATTTAAGTCCCAGAGAGCTGTTAACAATTTCATATTTGATTTTACCTTGTGAGATCTGTCAGATCTGTCAGATAACTTGAAAGTTATCTGTCAGATAACTTGAAAGCATTCCATAAAGAAAGCTTGACAATCTGTTTTCATAGTTTGTTCACCTTTAATGCGTACTTTTAGTGTCCTATAGTGACATGCTTCTGAACACCAGGGAACAAATTAAAGGAACTTTTTATAACAATAGAAATAGGTGTGTGCTAAAGTAACGAATAAAATCTTTATGATTACTTTTTCCCCTTCCTGAGACAGGATTTCTCTGTGTAGCTTTGCGCCTTTCCTGGAACTCACTCTGTAGCTCAGGCTGGCCTTGAACTTGTCTCTGCCTCCCAAGTACTGAGATTAAACGTGTGCGTCACCACCGCCTGGCTCTGATTACTCTTTTTTGTACATGAATGTTAAAAAGTTTATGTACTGGACATAGTTTTACTAGAAATCATACACCTTCACGATCTTTGTTTTCTTCATTTTTACTTGAGAAAGAACCCACATCAAGTTTGTCTTGTTTTCTGTCTTTTGAAGTAGTCTCCCTGTGTGATCGAGGCTGGCCTGGAAATTTTTATGTCACCTAGCTGGCCTCAAACTGGGAATCCTCCTCCGGCTTCCAGAACACAGATTACAGGCATGTATCACCATGCCTGCTTAGAGCTTGTTTTTGAAATCAAGAATAACAGGTTGTCATCTCAACCTAGTATGTGGTTGGCTGAGACAGTGTATTGAATGGGTGAAACTGAGTATGTTAGACTTTTCTAGAAGGTTAACTGCAGGTTCCCTTGTATTATTTATTGCTTTTCTTTTATTTAGTTTCTTGAAACTGATTCTGGTTACATAGACTGTCTGGCCTGGGACTTGCTATGTCTGTAAACAACAGTTGGCCTGGTATTTACAATCTTTCTACCTCAGTCCCTCAAGTGCTAGGATTATAGGCATGCTGTACTAGGCCTGGTTCTGAGTACACTTTTAAAGTGTGTTGAGTGGATTTTTCTCCTTATTCATTCCCCTAGATAATCTTATTTGGGTCAAATGTACTTTAAACTTTTTTTAAGTACTTAATGATGTATTATGAATTGCTCACTGAAATTGTTTTTAACATTTTAACCCATTTAAAACAGTATTGGGCCAGCATGGTGGTGCATGCCTTTAATGCTAGCGTTTGGGAGGCAGAGGCAGGCAGATCGCTGAGTTCAAGGCCACCCTGGTCTATAGATCGAGTTCCAGGACAACCAGGGTTATGCAGAGAAACTCTTTTTCTAAAATCCAAAACAACAACAACAATAACAACAAACCAGTGTTAGATTTAGGGAACTAGAATATTGGTCTGTGATATATTGTGGAAAACAGCCTTGACCACTTATCTTGGTGGATATGACAAGAATAAATGACTCTATTCTAATAGAAGTCTCTGCCTTTTAAGGCATATTAGTACAGAAACATTTGTCATAGACATGATCTTGAAGGGTAGTTCTAACCAGCAGTTATTTATGTTTTCCTATGGAGCTAGACCAAGTGAGGTGGCAGTGGGTTGTTGAGAAATTATTGTACAGCAGAGGATAACTTTAATGTGAACAAGTGGATTTTTTCCTGGTTGATTTCAGGCTGTTAGAAAGCTGCAGTAGACATGAGGTGAGGATTGGTTTGTAGCCTTGTGTATGATACTTGAACTATGTAGTACTCTATTAGAGAACCAAGCTGGACAAGAAACCCTTAAAATACTTAAATGTACAGTTCAAGGCTATGATTCTGTGGCTCAGCTTGTGAAGTAAAAAATGTAACACAGTGTATCAAGTGCTGGAATGAAATATAGAAATCTATTATGCAGATTGCTATCCCTTCTACACTCCTTTTCCTCTCATTTTCTAAGTGGAATTTATTTTATTTTATTTATTTATTTAATTTTTTGGGGGGTCGGTTTGAAGCAGGGTTTCTCTGTGTAGCTTTGCGCCTGTCCTGGAGCTCGCTCTGTAGACCAGGCTGGCCTGGAACTCACAGAGATCCGCCTGCCTCTGCCTCCCGAGTGCTGGGATTAAAGGCATGTGCCACCACCGCCCAGTGTGGATTTTATTTTTATAGTAAAAAATATAGATGAGCTATAATCACAGTATTTTATTGTGTTTAAAATATTTATTTGTTTGTTTGTTTGCTTATTTATTTGATGTGTTTGTGAGTGTAGGTCCCTTCAGAGGGCAGAAGAGGGTATCTGCTCCCCTGGAGCTGGAGTTACAGGAGGGTGAACTATTGGATATGTGCTGGGAATGGAATGGTGCTAAGAAGAGCAAGTGCTCATAACTGCTGAACTACCTCCCCAGTCCTCCTGCTCCCTCTTTCATTTTTTAATGTTTTAGATAGACACTCTTAGCCCAGGCTGACCTGGAACTCACTGTGTAACCCAGGCTAGCCTCAAACTTGGAGCAGTCCCCCCACCCCTTTTTTTTTAAGCTTCAGCCTTCCAAATTCTGACATTTCAGGCATGCACCCTGTGGCTCCCCCCAAAAGAAACCCCAAAACCCTGGCTTCTTCACACTAATATAAATTTAGTATTATCTACACAGCATACTCTACCATCTGTAGTTCTACATGCAAAATATTTTCCTCTTTTAACTTTGAAAATATACTATGTAAGAACTGAATTCTTAACCATTTGTTGGGGCTTATGGACTCCTTTCTTAATCTAATAGAGAAATAGACTGTGCCTACATAGAATTCAGGATACATTTGGGGCTGCTGGTGTACCCCTGGCTATACTCAGGGTTTGTAGTAAAGGGTTTTGTTTCACATGGTGCCAGTTCCCTGTCTGTGCCAACAAAGTACCTCTTGTAAGGCCTAGCGAGTACAGAGGAAACATTTCTGGCTGAGTGTCTGCCTATTGTTGTACGTTCAGTTAAAATCCTCAATGCCATTCTGATTGTCTGCATTTTTATGGTATTGCCATGACTACTATTGTACAAGGTAATGTTAGCCTGCTTTTCTTTTTTTTAGAGAGGGTTTTTCTATGTAGTCCTGGTGTCCTAGAGCTCCACTGTGTGGATCAGGCTGGCCTGCATATGTTTGCCTGCCTCTGTCTCCAGAGTGCTGGAACTAAAGGTGTGCACCATGATAGCTGGCTAGCCTGCATTTTTGTGGCCATGTTTTCTGTGAGGACTGAATTATAGGGGCATGTCTTTTCTATTCTTAAATTCTAGCTGGGTGCATCGGGATGGGACATTTTGTACAAGTAGATATTAAGAGTCATAAGTTTGTTACTTACTTTTTGTTTTTTGTTTTTTGGATAGGGTTTCTCTGTGAAGTCCAGACTGCCCTGGAACTAGCTCTGTAGACCAGGCAGGCTTTGAACTCAGAGACCCACCTGCCTCTATCTTCAAGTGCTGGGATTAAAGGCATGTGCCACCGTGCCTCACAGTATTTTTTATTGAAAATATTTTTTTTAACATATTCTCCTCATGGTTTCTCCTTCCCTGTCTTTTCTCCCCCTCACCCATCCAACTCAGTACCTACTTTCTCTCTTTAGAAAACAAACAGACAGGCCAATAAACAAATCAGAGTTTTAAAAAAATGTATACACACACACACACCATAAAAACACAAAATCTGAAACCCTAATATATAAGCAAAAGATCAATAAAATAAAAAAAAAAATAAGCAAATGAAGCAATGTGGGACAGGAAAATCTCCCCAGAGTGTCAGTGAGTTCATTTTTTTTTTTTTTTTGACTGTACACTGCTGGGCTTGG